GAGGGGAGGCCGGGCAGGAGGGCGGAGGGGAGGCCGGGCAGGAGGGCCGAGGGGAGGCCGGGCAGGAGGGCCGAGGGGAGGCCGGGCAGGAGGGCCGAGGGGAGGCCGGGCAGGAGGGCGGAGGGGACAGCCTCACGGCTTGTGCTGGCTGCGTGGGGCACGAGCAGTGAGTCTCGTTCAGCTGCCCACGCGGGCTCGGCGCTCTCCCCCCAGGAAACTGACCTGATCGCTGGTCAGGACCTAACGCTTTTTATCCGTCACGGTCGGGGTGGTGGCTGGGTTGTTTGGACAGGGCTCTCCAGCCCACGGGTTCGGCCGCCTGTCCCAGCAGGACAAGTTGCCCTACCCCTGACCACTTCTGTTTCATTCTGTCTCGAATGAAAGAATGAAGTTGTCTCGTGACATAGACAAAAGTGAACTCAAAATATGTCCAACACCTCAGGTCAGAGATAAAACCATAAAACCCTTAGCAGAAAGTAGGGAAACCTCCTTTAGAAGGTGTAAATCTCTGTGGATCTGGTTCAGGCAGTGGCTTCTCAGAGAGGGCCCTACAGCACAAGCAGCCAAAGGGAAAATCGGTAAACTGAGCTTCGTAAACATTGAAATTGGCTGCCTTTCAGAGGGGATGGAGAGGCAAAGGGCAGCCCACGAAAAGGGGCTGAGTATGTTCACATCACACATCTGGGGGGGGCTTAATACTGCAGCATGCAAAGAGCTATTACAACGCAACCGTAAAAGACAACAGTCAACCTAAGTCTGCGTGAGACACTTGCCTAGACATTTCCCCAAAGACATGCCAGTTGTCGGTAAGTTCCCGAGAACATGCCCAGTGTCCCTAAGGTGAGGAAAGTGCAAATTAAATCCACAATGAGATGCTGCCTCACACCCTAGAGTGGCCACAGTGGAAACAACCCAGCGACAATCATGCAGGTGTGAACCCAGTACCAACTGTCAGGTAAGAGCTGGACGGCCTGGAAGCCTCCTGCAGGCTCACGATAACTAAACAGACTGTGCCGAGCCACTTTGGTTCTTCCTCAAAAGTCAGCACGAATCTGAACTCAGGTCCGTCTGCAGACGTGTGTCCCTGCCTCTGCCGAGTACGAGCCCACAGCGGTGAGCCGCTCAAAACACTGCACAGACGGGGGGCGTCAGCAGAGTTAACGTGACCCCTCAGTCCTCTCCTGCGCGTGTCCCCGAGAGCCAGAAACACGCGTTCATGCAACAGGATGACGAAGGCAGCATTTGGTCACTACAGGCAGAGGGTGGACGCCGGGTCCTCAGTGGGCAGAGGGCACGCAGAAGTGGGGGGTCAGACGGCAACCGACAGGCTGCCGTAGAAGGAGCGAAGCCCCAACGCCAACTGCCCTGCGTGCGCGTCTGGGAAACACCGGGCTGAGCCAGAGGCGGCCGCGAAAGAGCTCGCAGCTTGTGGCTCCGTTTGCGGGAAATGTCGGGGCAGGCAGGTCCCCAGAGAGTCGGTCAGTGTTCCTACTGGAGGCGAGGGAGGAGCGAGGCCTGACTGCTAGTGGGGATAGTGTTCTCTCTGGGGCGACAACACGTCCCACAGTGGAACGGGGGGTGGGTTTCCCCCATGAACACACAACGGAATTGGACAGCTCAGAAGGGCTCTTTGGGGGTCGGGGGGGGGGTCACATCCCGATCTTAGACAAAAATCTAATTGCCTTATGTGGTCAGCGGCTACTTCCAAGTTCCTGGTCCAGTCCCCTGCTCCACGGGCCCTGACCTAAGCCGCTGGCTTATTAAGTCCGGGACGCTCCCGTCTGCACCCCTGGGTCTCTACGTCTGCAGGGTTACCCAGGTTCTCCGGCGTTTCTGAGCCAGCTGGCTCCCTAGTAGGGAAGAAGCTGACTTGAGGTACAAGGTCCTTAACCGCTCGGAACTGAGGGTGTGTGGCACAGGGGCACCGTTCTTCAAGGAGAGGCCTCGGGGTTCTAGGTTCTGGGCTGCAGCTCACCTGAATGCCAGAACTTGACAGCCAGAGAAGTAGTTCCTGATGCTGCTATTTTGGAAGAGCTGGTTGAGCTGAAAGACAGAGCAGGCTCCCTAGGTCAGCACCGGCAGGCGGCCGCCGAGCCCCTTCGCCGCCAGCTCAGCCAGCCGGTGCCCTGAAGGGACGTCACGCTCCGGGGATGACCGAGCTGTGGGGCGGGGCGAGCTGCGGGGGCTCTCTGGTCTGCGCGCTAACTTGTCAGAGTAAGAAGCGCCCTTCCGAGTCGCCGTGAAGCCCGACGCCCGCATGCCCCGCACGCGCCCGCCCTCACCGCGTGCTCGATGCTCCTCTTGGTCTTCTGGTGTTTGCTGGCGCCGGGCTGGGCCATGTCCTGGGAGTAGAGCAGGTTGGTGACGGTGAAGTTGAGCTGGAAGTGCTGGGAGCTGGGGACGCCCGTTGGCTTTTCTGTAGCTAGATTATCGGAGAACTCTACTCCTAGGAGAAAAAGAAAATCTAAAATCCCCGGTCGGGGAAGGTGTCACGTGAGAGGCCGTTGCAGCCTGCCCGCTTATTTCTGGCAGTGAGCCCTCAGCTGGGCTTTTAAAAAAGTTAATTGGCCAATGTTTTCATGCATCCAAGAACTGGGGTACAGGTCAGAGTTGCTGGGGGTGAGAGGAGTCACCAGAGGCAGAGCGGGGAGCAGCGCAGGCGGATCCACTGACACCCACTGCTGAGGGGGCAGCGGGGAGCTGGGAGGGGTCTGCCGTGCCCTGGGGTAGCTCCCTGGCCGGGGCCGAACTCTCTCGGCCGAGGCTGTGGCAGCAGCGTCCTGGTGCTGGCCTTCGGCCCCTGGACCACCGGGGAGGCCCGAGCGGGGCTTTTCAAAGCAGCCGCCGGGGCCCTACGCACCCGGCTGCCCACCGGGAGGTCATTACTTCCCCCCGAAGCGCCCCTCCGAGCGTGTGGGCGGTGGGTGGGGAGGAGGAGGCCGCACATTGCCGGGACCCACCGGTAAGCGCGGTGCTGACCAGCGGGGGGCTGAGCCCCCGGGCGCCCTCCTCCCCAGGGGACAGCTGCACAGCACCCAGAGGACAAACTTCCCAGGCTCAACTCTGAGGGTATCTGTGCCCCCCAAGCCATTCCAGGACCCCAGAAATTCCCTGCCCCAGTCTTCGGCCTCAGCTGTCACCTGGCCAAGGCACAGCCGGCTTCTTGCCGCTTCTCGCCTGTCTTCGAGGCTGTGACCCCAAGCAACGCCGGCCCTCCCCTCCGGCTCTGGCCTGTGCACCCCGGGGACACAGTCCCTTCGTCACCTCTTCCACAAAACTTTCCAAGACAAGATTGTGTGTCCCTCCCTGAGGTCATCACAGTGCCTCATCGGGGCCGTTCCCAGTAAGTGTTTGTTGAATGAATGATTAAATGAATGAACGCACCAATTTATCAGTCACACGTGCGAGTCTTAACTAGAGGAAACGCGGGAATGTCCAGATTTTGAGCTGGAAACATTCACGTGTCAAACCACTGCTCCCGGGCCCTCCCCGGGGGCGCAGCGGGTTGGGGCGGCGGCACTGCAAGCCGGCCGCAGCCTCTTCAGTGCGTGTTCCATCCGCAGCCCCGAGGGGACCCCAGGGCGCGGCAGACCTCTCCTGGCCCGCCCGCTGCTCCCCTCAGCAGTGGACTTTGTCAGTCGGCCTGTTCTGCTCCCCGCTCTGTCTCTGGGGAATCCTCTCACTGTCCCTGTACCCCAGTTCTGTGTGCACAAATAAAGAAATCTTTATATATATATATGTAAACCTTAAAAAAACCAAAACCAAAACCCACTGCCCCCTGGGGGTCTGGTGCATGCTCTTTCTCGGCTTTTGCTGAATGGCCTCTGCTGTGGGTCATCACAGGGACCTCCAGGTAGCCAGCTCTTCTCTCTGGGGCAGCTGTGGATCCCCCCGCCCCGCCTCCTCCGGCCAGTGGCCAGCCCCCCATTTCCACCTGTCACGCGCACGTCCGCCAGCTGGTAGGTGGCGCCCAGCCAGTGGGCAGAAGCATTCAGGGTCTTGGCCAGAAAGACGCGCTTCACCACGCCAGGGTCCACGTTGGAGGAGAACAGGGCCTTGGCGGTGACCAACATGGAGTCCACCCTAGGGACAGAGACCGGTCAGTACCCGGCGCTAGCTGTGTCGTGGAGCCCGAGGCAAGCACCTTCCAGACTTTGCACTGGAAAAGCTTACGTGAGGTGGGGGAGCTCTGGAGGCCTTTCCCCCAGCGAGAAGACAGACTGACCA